GAGAGAGAGAGAGAGAGAGAGGGAGGGAGGAAAATATGATGATGATGATGATGAGATGATGATGATGATGATGATGAAGAAGAAGACGACGACGAGGAGACAGAGAAAAGAAGAAAAGAATAAGAAGAGATTACACTGTTGGAAGTACGCTTTTCGACCTTGGACCTTATTCTTCTCACTGATTTGTTCTATATGTACACATTAAATCTCTTCTCGTCTTCAAATATTTCTTACTTCGAATAATCGAATATTTATTATGCTCTCCTTTCGATTCTCTCGTTCGATCTTCCCGTTGGTCTTTAGAATTTATTTTTAAACCAAGAGATTTTGTTCCTTTATCTTTTTCCCTTGTTTTTTTTCCGTTTAAGAGTTTTGTTATTTTACCTATTATACATATCACAGGTCTCTTATGCGAACTTGTCAAAATTCGAACGCGTGATCTATCTATCTCTCTCTCTCTCTCTCTCTCTATCTATGTATTTTTCTCTGTGTGTTTCGCGATTGTACAAACAATCTAAAATTCTTCGAAGACTTGTTTTTTTTCTTTTTCTTCTTTATCTATCGTTGAAAGGAGGAAACTCGATTGAGATTAAAAGCACGTTGTTAACACTTTCACTAACGCGATACCACGTATTACGTACGTTAGGCTTAAACGCGTACACAAAATTTAGTAGCAAGTTAACTCGATGTTAAATTGTTGGTGTATTCGGTTATTACGTTAAGACAAAAGAAAATAAAATGGTTAAAGGTGACAACGATAAGTAGAAGAAAAGTAAGGTGTTAGAGGTACGCGCAAACGATCTAAGAGTGTGCGTATCGCAGGAAGGCTCGTTGCCGACTGACTGACTGACTGACTGATGCCGTCCTCTCTCCCCACCACCGAGCCACCCAACACTCGCCGAGTCACCCTTCACCGCTTCGAGCTAACAGCTGATTTGGAAAACACCGAGGTCCGCTTCAACCGCGTATCTATTTCTCGTCGCCCCCACCCATATTTTTTCATCTAATACCATTAATGTTGTGTGTGTGTGTGTGCTCGCGCGCGCACTTATGCGTATTTTTAAATCGAACATTTTCATTATATAATTCTTCAATATAATTTATAATTTTCCTTTAACATTGATTATATTAAATATTCATTTGAAAGATAAATTTGTAATGATACTTCGTAGAACGTTTCCGAGTAAGATGACTAAATAAAAGTCACCTGTCCACGCGCATAAACCTGAACGCGTACGTGCAGGATTAATGAACGTCGTTCGACGAATCCGCAGTCCCCTTTACGAGCGTTGAACATGCAAAATGATTCGAAAGATCGCATCCCCACCCTCGTCACTCTTATGTTGTGTATGTGTAGAATAAACGCGTTGTTCTCTGTGCTACGACGACCGAAATCTCTCGACGGCGATCGTGATTCTTTCATATTATATTTCATGTCGCAAGATTGGCCATGAACGCGAATGAAATTTCAGAATAATGGAAGAAGGAGAAGAAGAAGAAGAAGAGAAACGGCGACGTAGAGAACAGTGTCGACTCAAGCGAGAATCCGTGCCCTCGTTGCATAATTTGCGGCAATTTCCGAAGTGTCAGTCACGTATCTAAAAATCCTCGCTCCATCGTTTGTTTTTCATCTCTTCTTCGTTATTACACAAAGAGTAAACAATTATGAAATTATATTTAAATATATGTGGATATATTCATCAAATATTTGCAAAGTTAGAGTGCCGTATACGTACAAGTATTTTTGGTTTGCTTCGATATTGCGAAATAAAACATGTGATTTAAATAACATAAATATTTTCAAAATGACAGGGCTGTATCTAGAAACGAGTGTCGCCGTCATCTAGCCTTCAAATATTTTTTTGTCTCTTATTTTATTATCAAAAATAGTATAATTAATAGCTTAGGATGCAGGGTAAAAGGAAAGGAAGAAAAAAAAAAAAAAGAAAAAAAGGAAAATTTCGCCCGACACGAGAAAAGGACATTTTCTATCGTCGATAAAGTCAGCTAGCCTTGTATGAAGGCAACACGAGAACGTTATCGTTAGACGGGATAAAGTGCGAAGTCGAGTGGAACTCGATAAATCATGGAAGTATAGTCAACCCTCTTATAACAGAGCAGTCTAAAAACACGTTGTAAAAATGGCAAAAACTCACGTAAAAAACGATATTCGTGTAACATGGCCTTGTAAATTTAGACAAGATCTGTCTCAAACAAGAGTCGTCGCCAAATTGCGCTCGCAAAGTTCAATTAATTTTGGATTTCTAGATTTTTCTAATGCTTGACGAAGATCAGGAAAAAGCAAATGAAAAGAAAATTTAATTCTCTCGAAGATAAAATTCACATTTTAAGTGGCATAAAAGATCTATAAAACGTGTAGCCCACACATGAGATATAGATATTATGTATATGAAAGGCTTTGGTAAAACACAGGCGTTGGCGAAAACACTGGCACCAACCAGGGCCGTGTCCTTAGCATGAATATTCATTCACCCCTTCTTCCTGAACGAACATTACGAGGAACGATCTCGTCAGTCCAGATTAGAGTTCCCCTGTTTCTTCCGAGTGTCAAGTTCCCTGCCCTCCAGGTGGCCTCCAAGACACGACGACTTGCATATGTTGCAACTTACGCGAATTTTAATAAATCCAAATCAAAAAACCGTTTTCTAAAACAAGTTTTTTCTTTTTTATTTTTACAACATCTGAAATTATTTTTTCTATAATTATCATTCTATTATTATTATTATTATTATTATTTGATTTAATAGAAGCAAAAATATGAATAATTTCGCCATATATTGAAGGACAATTCTACCACGTGGTATATTTTAATTAGGGTTGCGTAATTTATTACCATTGGTGAACATTTTGATTGCGTAAGATCGATGAAAAAAGGTGTAGGGTCAACGGTAAATTGAGTGAGGAGTAAAGGAAGAGAACATATAAAAATCAAAATAAAAATAAAATCGAAGTTCGTCGTTTAACAATTTCAATTGGAGATATCTGGTATTGGTGTCGGAATAATTGAAATAATTTATCGGAGTGGAATCTTTCTCTCTTTCTCTTTCATTCTCTTAACTATTCGATATAACTAATCGATATTTCACTTCCATTCGTTTCTCGATTTGCTGCTTTCTATCCAATCTATGCATTTATATAACGAAATCATTTCATTTACTTAACAAAATTAATCGGACATTCGTTTAATAGTATATTATTATTATTCTATCCTAATTAGTTTCTAAGTGTAAGAAGAGAAAGAAAGAGAAAAGTTCAGAAATATTTAGTTATTCATACAATGGCGTTCTTTCCATCCTATTTTTGGAAAACATTCTCGATTCAAGTTCATCAGCCAAAGAAACGCATCAAGGACGAAGAATAAGTTGTCTACCATTGTTCAATCTTTTATTCTCTTTTTATCCGATTTCACATCGCTTTATCTTATTTCCCCTTAAATTCTATTTGTTTGTGTTATTCAAAGAAAAACTTTCATAAATTTTAAATCTTCCTAATCGAAAATTGTAGTTTGTACTTTGATCAACGTTTCCTCATTCTAACATTTTTCAATATTTCAAACTTCATTTTTATAAAATATGTAGGCAATTTTGTAATCTTTCGAGCAGTATTCTTTCATGAAAGTCGATAAAGATCGTAAAATCATACATTCACAATTGATGCATTTTTCGTTCCCTTTTCGAAATTTAATCTATCGTTCAAGTCACCCTGAAAACTTCTTCAAAGATTTACTGGCCCATAAAAACCTTAGAAATAATGCAGTATGCAAACAAAATGTTGTTCTTTTTGTAACATAGATTAATTTTTATTTATGAAAAAAAAAGATTAAAAATAAAATTGTTTACAAAACAAACAAATAAAAAATGGTCGATAGTACGAAAACAATAAACATCAGTGATTCTTCTAATAAGATAAGCTCATAAAAAGATAGTTTCTATAGATATTAGAAGAAGATAACTGCCGTGACTGAATAAGGAATCTATTTTAACAAACGATGTATGCAATGTTAGAGATGATTATATTGTTCGTTCGTGAATCGTACCTAACACCTTCCTAGCACGAGCTTCTATATTTAGGATTTTGCACACGTGTGCTAGTCAAGATCTTCAGGGCCAACTTCGGTAAACTGTCTTACAATCGTTTAGATTTACATTCTTTATGAACATGAGCTACCACTTAAAATCGATTTATTTTTTTCTTCTTGTATTTTTCGAATCCAGTAAACTAGCGTATACTCGCTTATCATCACAAATGTAGTCTCCATCGCTGATAAATACAGGGTAGATCAAAAGTATCTTTGTCGTTTTAATCGATTACTTCTTCGCGAAACTTTTTAAGTTCGAAGTTAGACTTGTAGTTTCTTTACAATCTAAAGAGGAAAAATTATCAAAAAGGTCCCGAGAAAGTGTAATTAATTGTTTAGCAACCCTGTATTAATGAAACAAGAGGACAAACAAACTTTGCTGGTAAGTTCAATGAATCAAAAATATAATATTGAATTTATATCATCTAAAGAATATAAATAATAACCTTGATTGATCATAAAAATGAATACTTAATTGATAGATTTAAATTTAATGACCCACGAAAAGGTGGGACTAAGAAATCGACCTACGTTCCAAATTAATCTCTGTTGATCTCTCTCTTTCTCTTTCTCTCTCTCTCTCTCTCTCTTTCTCTCTCTCTCTCTCTCTCTCTCTCTCTCTCCTTCGTTCGTTCTCGAGGTCATGAGTCAGTGAGAATATACAAAACATGATTCTTGAGTAACTCCAACGAAGGTCTCTTATCACTCCAACAATGTTCATACCTTGTATTACGTAATAAAATTTAAAATTAATCAAGAGTTATCAGCTTTTATCGTTGATGAATGATAAAGAATAAAAATATATATATCGTGTTTCCTTTATTAACACTTTACAATAATAATTCCGTCTAATTAATCGATCATGTATTATAATATTTTGTCTTATGTTTAGGAAGAATCGACGTGAGTCATTTTTACCTACCAACGAATCGAACAAATTTGTTTGGCCGACCTTTATAATCGTGTCCAGTTTATTCTAGGCATGTAATCATGCATTTATCTGTTTATATGTGTTAATGGATTTAGTTGTTTGTATCTGGGATTTACCATGAGGGTGAAATTCGTTAGCGAAGTGAATCAACCCAAGGCCATAATCTATGACTCGACTAAAGAAAACAATCGACTCGGTAATTCGAATGAGCCCTTTGTTCCTGAAAAAGGATTTAAGATATGCTATTCGGCTGCTTTCTCTTTTGACCTGACCATTTGCATACTCTAATTATATGTATCTTGCGTACAATCTTTTAGCGACGATAGAATAATACTTGAAGAATAAAAAGAAAATAATATATCAAATAAATATATATTATATTAATTAAAAGAATATATTTCTCTATACAAAACAATGTATAGTATGAAACGATAAAAGTTAAATAATAAGGTCAAACGGACAATTAGAAGAAGCTTTAGCGAATCCATCTTGGTTTACCGTATCTGAAAGCATTAATTTATCATCGAAATACGGTGGCTCGCGGTTGTTCGATGTGCAAAATCATTAAAGAGTTAATTACGCGTGATCACGTTGCATACATGAATCCCAAGTTCCATCGACGTTCCACTCGGCATGTTTAGGGACTCCATGGAATATATTCACTTTATGTCCGCCATAACGAAATAAGCCATCGTTAACGGTATAAAACTCAAATTACCCCGACAATCGTTATCGCCATTATTTAATACAGATAATGCGTAAGAAAAAAAAATCAAATCAACTTTATTCTAAATACTTATTTTAGAATTCTGTGCAAAGTTAACATACATAAATATTTATATATAACAATGTATATATTATATGTATTAATTTGCATTTACAATATAAAGGAAAATGGTCGATAAAATCAGTGAAAGAATAATATAGTTAAAAAGGCATTTACACCTGAGAAATTTGAAATGATACATCTTCGATTTCTTTTAAACGATAAATATCACTTATAGCTTTTATATTCGACATCGAACGTACTTTCATATAGGAATAAAAATGATTAAGAGATTAAGTTAAAAGAATATATTCGTGTCCTTTTTCCTACGAAGGTCGATTACGTGAATGTTGCTACGTCGTAATAAGAAATATCACGGATTAATGCCGGATAAAACGACTGCGTTCGATCTCGACTAGCTTTTTCCTCCTTTTTTGTCTTCATATATATATGTATATGAATAGCGATGGGATAGCAATTGTAACAGCAGCAGCAGCAGCAACAACGAAACGCAAGAAATATCGACTTGCACTCTCTAATCTAATCTTACATAATTCAAGTAGAATATTGAGAGAGAAGGAGAAGAAGAGAGAGAGAGAGAGAGAGAGAGAGAAGAAGAGAGAGAGAGAGAGAGAGAGAGAAATAAAAAATTGTCGTTTCCACGAAGATGTCGATGCGAGTAATATCACACATAGATTGCAATTCATCGTTTCAACATCGTTTTCAATATATTTCATAACCTGTGCCAGTCGACAATTAAAACTCTGAGAAAAATCGATGGATACGATCGAGAAAGAAAAGAACCTGCATTCTCGTTTATACATATGTTATACATAAATACATACCATTGCTGCTAAGTAAGATTTTCCTCTTATTCTCAAAGAGAAAGCATAAGATGATTCATTGGAACATTCCAACAGTTCTATAATAAATACAAAAGCTAGGGTTGGTATAATGCTGGCATACGTAGATAAATGTGTAAGGTGTTAGAGGATAAAAGCATATGCATAAAAGAGAAGAAAAAATATGAAGGAATATAATCGAAGAACACATACCAAACGTCAAGACGTGGGTGACAGTTTGCTCGGCATTCGCACTCTCTGGCATGTTGAGTGGTGGGGGTGGTAGCGGTGGACGCATGGTGTTCTCCATTCCCGTTCCCCTCTGTCCCTGCTTTGCCCAGACGAATGGCTCCTGGGGTCGGCTCATCTCCCCCTTGCCCTCGCCGTCGTCGCACGCTGTCAAAATTGCTTTGGCGTTTGGGTATGTCGGTCAAACGCACAATGACAGTCGTGAATAATCAAACGAAACGATTTGTTTTTATCGAAGGAACATATTTCGATCGTTCGCACGTATATCTCCGCGAGCTAAGATCGATTTTCGAAAGTTCAATAAAAAGGAATAGAACGTAGTCACGATTACTGATGATGACCGGTCAAGCTTAAGGCAAACATGTCCGCGACGTAATTGTCAGGGACGACGAACAGCGCGCTCGTCGTCGTCGTCGTCGTCGTTCGCCGGCTACACCTCCTCTTCCTTCTCCACCTCTTCCACCACCTAGACCACCACCTCTTCCTCTTCCTCCTACCCCTGTTTCTTCATCTCGTCCTCTTTCACGACGACGTACGACGATCTTCTCGACGAGAGTTACGGCTGAGAAGATGACTCCAAAGGGACAATGAAACCCGCGCGAAATTCGCATGATATCTCGCACAAAAACTGCTCTACTCTCAAGGTCTCTTTCTCGCAGGTTTCCCGAGTATAACCATTAAACGAACGACGGACGGATAAACGGCACGAGTTTTTCGGTGTTGCGCGCCTGCACTTTGCGATCATCGATACCCGCTTATTATTGGCCCTAGCGCTCCGACCAATCGTAGACTCGATTACCCGGTGCGCGCCAACGACCGTCGCGCTGCCAACCGATTAACGCTCCAACTAATAGCCACAAGAGATTCTTCAAGACTAACGTAAGCTTGAAAATTGATTGTTTTATCTTACTCTTTCTTTTTTTTTATAGCTATCCTTTTCCCTTCCATCGATTAAATCTTTTTTTTTTAACTGTTTTATATATATACACATGTTGTAGCTGTGCTAATTCGAAACATATGTGTAAAAATATAATACCGATCGATTAATCTTTTATCAATCTCTCTCTTCTGTCGTGACCTACTAGGAAAAGTTAAATATTGTGAATCATTCGTTGAATAGAGTTTTGTAATCGCATTTACTTTTCTGAACGCTCATTAAATCACTAAGAAATACGGTATACGTTTTACCGTTGGATATAACATTTCAAAGTAGAAAGAACACACTTGTTTATACACTTACTTGTGCCGTTAAAAATGATCTCGTACTTAATCGAAATAAAAAAAATGTTATCTGAGGTTTTACCGTTTTGTTCAAAGTATTGGTATCATATTGTTATCGCTCTGTGTTTTTGTTTTTTTTTCGAGAGTATTGTACTTCGCCTAACTAAACGAGGAATTTTTGCAATTATTTCAAATGCATTGAAATATTCAGATAGTGCGAGGAAGGATCCAAAGAACGAAGGTATAGAAAAATTATGTATTCGGACAAATTTGACAACATAGAAGAGAAAAAAAGAAAATTTATAACATAGAAATTTCGTCATGTATAGAATTGGACGAGGTGGATTCGGATAATGAAGAAAAATTTGTAGAGTCGGCTTTACCGGAAGATTTAAAACATCTGCCTTACGAGTACAGTAAACCGAGCGATGAAGAATTGTTAAGGCGAGCCAATGAATTTTATGAAATAACCAATGCGAGAAGAACTATAAGATTTTTTAGCGAAGAAAATGTACCGAAAGAAGTAATACGGCATATTATCAGAGCTGCAGGTATAAAAACAGAGAGACGGCAAGTTTGTATCGACGTAGGTTTTTCCATACGGATCCTTGGACCATGTCGTAATGTTGCTTTCCCTTTTTAGGTACCGCTCCCAGCGGCGCTCATACGGAACCATGGAGTTTCGTAGTGGTATCGAATAAAACGATGAAAGCTCTCATTCGAGAAATCGTCGAAAGGGAGGAAGAAATTAATTATAAAAAAAGAATGGGAATTAAATGGACGACAGATCTTCGCCCATTGAAAACTAACTGGATCAAGGAATATCTCACAGCCGCGCCATATTTGATTCTAGTTTTTAAACAGGTTTACGGTTTTTTACCGAATGGAAAAAGAAAGGTTCATTATTATAACGAAATGAGCGTATCAATTGCATGTGGTATTCTTTTAACCGCTATTCAGGTATTATTTTTTATTTTTCTTACTTTTCCCGCTTTCGTTTCATACTCATTCTTTATTTCACTTGTGATATAAGTTATGGGATTAATTTTTTATTTTTTGCTTCTTTTTTTTCGACTACCTTTCACCGTTATACAGTACACTGGTCTGGTTACTTTAACTTCTACACCTTTAAATTGTGGCCCAGCTATACGTACTCTACTTCAACGTCCCTCTAACGAAAAACTCGTTTTATTGTTACCTGTTGGTTATCCTGCGAAGGACGCTACTATTCCCGATCTTCGACGCAAATCTTTATCAGAGATTTTAGTAGAAATCGATTAACATCGGTTCTAACAACTGAACAGAGATATTATTGTCAAGATTTGTAATATTATAAAATACAAATATCCATCTTCTTTGCAGAGAACATCTTGGACTATTCGCCAAATATGATCCTAAAACATTATTAAACAAAAAGAAACAAAGAAAATATGTTGGAAAGTGTCTCTGTGCAATTGAAATATGAAAGAAATTTTTATTACTCTATACATTCTGGTTTGTGTTTTTTTTGTTTTCTTTTCTTTTCTTTTTCTCCGGAAAAATGAAAAACGTAGTAATTAATATACACGCACACAATAAAAGTCCGCATAATCCGAAGTTGCTAATACAATTTGTATAAACTAATATTTTTTCATAATTTTTTTTTCTTTTTTATTTGAATTTGCGTACAATATGTTAAAAATAAGCAGTATAAAGTGTAAATTTATGATCTCTAATAGAATAAGAAAAAAAACTGAAATATCGATTGCTCCATTTTAGTGATGTAGCTAACATACAATTCCATATGATTAGGCTGCCATAGCATTACGAAGTAGAAAAAAAGTATGGAGAAAGAGAAAGACAGAAAGAGAAAGAGAAAAAGTTAGAGATAAAGAAGAAAAAAGAAAAAAAGTTTTATACTGTTGAGAATACCAAATATCACCACAGTATCTTAAATTAAGTACACTGAAGAAGATATAAAATATAAAAATACTGAGTTATATAATGACGAAGAAATGGGCATATACAATTTTTTTTTCTTTTTCGTATTTTTTGTTTGCTTTCTTCTTGTTGCAGAACCGTTAAGTCTGTATCTCATAGCTATGCTGCTACTAATGGCTATGTCAATAAGTGTAAAAGCTTAAATATCATTGATACGTACAGATAAACAGAGAATGTTTTCTATTTATCGCTCTATTTACGAAACAGATATTAATAATATCATGTGTTTTGTTAATTTTATTTTATAATTTTTTTTTTAATCTAGAATATCATTGTTTTTCTTTATTTTACTTTACTTTTGCATCTTCCATGACACTTGGATTTACATATCCAAGTTAATAGCGAGGAGCTAAGAGTTAGTATGAAAATTTGAGATCACCAAAAGTTTTATTAAAAATTTTTAAGCAAATCTGGGTTTGTTCTTTTTTTTAAGTTCTTTCGTTTTGTTTCATTTCGATTCGTTTCATGTCATTTCATTTCATTTTAAAACTTCAATTAAAAGCAACCAAACAACATATTAAGTGTCAGTGACTAAATATAGATTGATCCAGAACTAGGAGAGCATCGTATTCCATTCAACTTAAAACTAATTATTCCTGTCATTTTGTTACAGCATTTATATATATAAATACATATGTATGCTATATATATATATATATATAAAGTTTACTAGCATACATACATATACATATGTATAAACATATATCTATATGTTTGAGTTCTAAAAACGAATAAAAAATACACTTGTCATATTTTCATGTATTTCCAGTCGAAATATTTGAGCAAACATATGTATATCTTCTCTGTTTTATTTATTTCGCTTAAAACAATATTAATCTCTTTGTCCGTTTTCTCGTAGAAACCCATGTTGTTCCATGGCGTCTGTTATAAGAGAAGCTAATATATTTATATATATAACTATTTGTAAGAGCTACCTTATTAAAAAAAAAAAATCATAAATACATTTATTACACTTTTAGCTTTCTGAGATCCAGCAATGCCTGAGAGATGTCTAATAAAACCACAGCGAGTCGCGTACACTCTCTTTCAAATCGTTCTTTTTTAATAAATATAGTTTAAACAAAAGAAGAAAATAAAAAGAATGGCAAATGTTTGGAGATATCTCGTTAATGAATAAAAATCTCTTCTCCTTGGGAGGTTGTTTCGTTAAGAATGAATTAATATTAAATTCACCGGATCGATATAGATCATTGAAATCTACAATAATAATACTATATACGGAAAATCGAGCCGAGTCAAGGAGGGGGAGTTAGGGATTTGAGGATTGGCTGTAAAGAATACTCTCCTAATTCAAAGACAACCGTAGTCGCACCGCACAGCGAGAAATAGATAAAATCGCGTGACTTATCTACGATATCAGACTTAATCACGGCGATGAAATTCTGCTATGCACAGACGGCAAGACCAGGAGCCCTCTGGAGGAGATGCGAGAGGTGGAGATAGACAATACATGTGGTACCCACGATCACAGTCGTCACAGAACAGCAGCTGATCCTATTTCGTGTCGCCAAATACATTAATAATAGCGTAAGAACAAATTGTCAGAAAAAGAAATTACAAACAAATAACAAATCAATCTACAAAGAAAAGAAATCAAAGAAGACGCTTTCATAGATTTTAAACATTATTGCATTACATGACGAGTCTTATGCTATTTTTTGCTTTGCTAAAAAATATGAAAATTTTAAAAGGATAAGAGACAAAAAGAATAGAAAAAAAAAAAAATACAAATTACAGGACGCATACGTATATTTGCGTCTGTCGCGTGAAAAAAAAAAAAATAATATAAATATCATCGTGCTTAACGTAAAATTCGAAACAGATAAAATCCTGCTAAATTCAAAAGGGATGAATATACTCACGTCGTTGTCAGAAGTGCCACATATGGAGCAACATTTGCATTCGATACATTGCCACCTGTACTTGCGAACAGAAACGATCATGTTTGCAGTGAATTGCAAACATGTTGGATGCCCTATAACAAGAATGTATGCACGTCATGGAATACGCATGTGGGATGGATTAGGATAATGATTGGACGAGCAGAAAGGTGCCAGGACATTTATCTTGTGCCGAAGAACAGTGAACTCCAAGCTAGCTATTTTTTCCATCAAATATATTTATTATTTTTTTTTTTTCTCAAACTTCTGTATCCAAATCGAGGCTCGATCGAATATAGCGTATATATATACACATATCTCTGGTATATTTTTTGTCAACTTTGATTGTTAATTTTGTAATATTGAATTTGTCGTCATTTAAATTTTGTTCAACAAGTGCGAATTGTATGTCTTTCACCTTTCCTCAGCACTAAACGTCCGGAATAATGAAACTTATCCATGTTTCCGCACATAATGTTTTATTTCATGATACTCGCAATTTTTGATGTTGCCTTTTGAACATACTTTTTATTATTATTTGGAATAATAGGTGGTAAGTAATAGCAGGGCGTACCTTGGAATAGTTCACGTTCTTTCTTGCGCAGCACAATATAAACGTCGCAGATCAGCACACTCTCCCTCGCTATCTCTCTATTTCTTTCTCACATCTCTTTCATACGCACTATACACACACGTCACTCACTCACTCACTCACTCACTCACTCACTCACTCACTCACTCACTCACTCACTCACTCACTCACTCACTCACTCACTCACTCACTCACTCATACACGCACGCGCCCACGCACGCCGACGCACGCACGACATAGCTAACACATATCACATACAGAAAGACACACAAATAAACGCATCCATATCCACGCATACAACTCATAACGTATCACATTTGTATATATATATAATATATATATTCATATATATAACTAATGTTACTTAAACGCTATATTTGTAAGCCTCATGGGTATTGCTTAATTAAAATTGCCTAATAACAAGTCTTCAATTTTATATAACAAGGAGGAACTATCTGCATGCTTTTTTTATCGTGTGTTGTTTTCTTCTTTTTTTTTTTTCCTTTTTATATATGCATTTATATATATACATTACAGTATATTGTTTTAATAGATAATTTCAATAGATAAAATTTAAATCTATAANTATATATATATATACCATGTGAGTTTTTCTTATGATCAATCTAATTTAAGAATTATTTATTTAATCGGTTAAAACTAAAGCAAGATATATTTTGTTGCGTTAACTACGTAGTCGTTAACGAAGAAAAAATCGTTTTAAGCGCGCGGTACTATTGAATATATTTATATATACATATATAAATATATATGTATGCATGAACTGTAACATATTACTTCTAGGAAAATGAAAAATCTTGATTTTATCCAGTAAATAATTCAATTTCGAAAGTATTCATAATGTTGTTTAAGTATATCTTTTTTGTTTTAATAAGAAAACAATTTCAAAAAGCTGCATGGCTGCATTCAATACATATATATTCCAATATATATATAAATATTTTTACTCATTCTTGAATTTGATTTATAAAGTTAGATCGCAACAAAATGTTTTTGATGTGTCTCTCTCTCTCTCTATGTGTTTGAAAAACTCATAAGGTATTACATTAATGTTAAATATATATATATATATTATGTGACAATATTATTTCTATTAAAAAAAAAAATGATATTTGTACAGGTATCAAAGCTTGTATAAAACTAAGCTACATGTCAGATTTCTACAAAAAGAGACCATAATTATTACGGTCGTTTATGTTTCTGTGACACGTCGCTATTCGAATTCGATAGATACCTAATTGAAAAACATCTGACCATGAAAAATTTTATTTTTATCCTTTTCTTGTGAGTGTGTGTGTGTTGTTTGCGTCTTTTCTAAATAATATATATATATATATATATATATATATCTTGTAATTTTTAAATATACTTAATAAATATTTGTGTGTGTCGTATCATTCGATGATACCTGTTGATACCTAATCGTTCTTTTGTTCGTACGTTCGGCGAAATGAAATAATACTCTTTGAAACTTATATCCTCAGAATTAATTCAAATAGAAAAAAAGAAGAAAAAAATAATAATAATAATAATAATAGTAATAATTAACACGTTGATCGCCGCGCGTAGATCAAGGGTGTTTCTCCCGGCGTAACTCGAATTATCTTAAAAGCTATTCTTTCCCCTAATATCAATTTATTATTTATGGCAGTTTTAACTGATACTAAACTGTTAATCTACCCTGTACGAGCTCCTCCGAAAGATTCTCCTCGAGTGAGAGATGCAAAATACTCGGAAGAATACATCTTTGCTACGAGAAAAGCAGACAAAACTTTAAATCAAGACAGGAACACATATTATTTCGCGACACAATAACTTCGTTCAAATTGCTGTACTGCATATATGCCATAATAAAAAATATAATATTATATTATATATATAATATATTTTTAAATAATATTGAATACTTCTGTATGTTACAAATAAAATTGTTGCAAATTACTTGAGAAAACCTATTTAAATTGGATGAAGAAAAGCGTCATCCAAATGTCAATTGACTGGGAGATCAACGTGTTAATAATAATAATAACAATAATTAATAATTAATAATAATAATATTAATAATAACAATAATAATTAATAATAACAATAATAATAGTAATAATAATAATAAATCAAAAGCAGCAGATATATGTATAGTCGAAATTACCGAATTAGAGAATCTGGAAGAGAGTAATTGAAATGTTGTGCCCATTTTTTACCATTGGCAGGAAGTCAGTGTCTATGGTATATATGTAATTATCTTCTATTATTATTTATAATCAAAGAAAAAAGAAATGTTATTATTATTGCAACGTACTCTATGATTCTGTATTATATATGTATAAATACCGAATATATATATTTATATATAGTAAAGCTATTGTAAATTAAATCTATAACCCCATGAAAACGTATTTCAATATATAATCCAAAAATCAATAAACAGTTGGTAATATTTAATTCATTTTTTCTTGTTTGGAAGCAAATAATTTTCTTGAAGAGTACTGGAATAAAATCTTGTACCATTTTATCGGATATCATAGCTTAATTTGCTAATAATAATAATAATAATGATAATGATAATAATAATAA